GAAAGAGTAGGGCTTTTGTTGTTCCTCACTATAGGTCTTGAAACAACCTATAACCCTCCAGGCTTCAAAACCACAAATCTTCTCTGGTCCAGGAGGATGAAAGACCAGAGACCAAGGTCCCTGGAACACCCGAGTGTTAGACAGCTACACTGGCCGCTTGGTATTGATGAAGTGATAGGTAAAGAATCTTAACTCTAATGAAGGTTCTTTAGCTAGCACTAACCAGGATAATGGTGAGGGAGTGCAGAGAGGTCTGATCCAAAGAGTAGAAATACATCATCTGACAGATTTTTAAAAAACCTGTCTAATGCTGCCATCATTTATTTTCCCCAAGAAACGTATTGCTGTCTTGAAGTAGACTGGATGTGTATAAAGAGATCCTGGCATAGAAAGGGACCTCACCTCTCAGCACTGAGGAAATCACACTGGAAAGGTAAAAGTGCCTGGGAAGCACACAGAAGTGTAGATGCACTCTAGTACTGCATGTTGATGCCAGCCCTCACCATTCTCAGCAAAACCAGTAGCGGAGATGGAGGCAGGGACAAGAAATCCAATCTAATGAGTGGCAAGCAGCTTGCAGCTGACCATGCCACAGCACACAATACCATAGCTGATGCAGCCCAACTGCAAAGTCATGGCTAGACAGGTGAATCAAAGACAATGATGGGCTACTTAGTGCAGAGAAGCATTTCCTATCAGCTACAGGGTCAGAATCACACAGTGTATGCCTCTGAAGTCTCAACTATCAGCATCCATGGAAAGCGGGTAAAAAACCTTTGAAGGTACTGCTTAGCTCATTTACCTCTGGACGGATTCAAAATGGGAGGCTTCGGGGACACAAAGGTTTAAGCTAAATGATTGTAAGTATCTGGTTCCTTGAGCAGGTAGCTGTTTTTCCTGTGCTCAGAAAACAGCCTCGCTGCCAATTTCAGCACTGAAGCTTGACCTCTCAATTGCATCACACCCAACAGTGGAACAATTTACAAGGGGAGGCAATCCTCAGGTCTCTCCAGGCTAAGACAGGCACCTGAAACTTAGGTCTGAGAGTGAAATACAATCCTCAAAAACACTGCAGCAATGTGGAGAAGTTTAATGACCTTGAAGATCAAACCCATGAAATCGGGGGGGGGGGAATATCACTGCTCAAAAATCTGTGTGTTCTGACTCAACTAGACCACAAGTTACTAACAGGACCTCTGAGATGTTCAGATTACTATTTTGCTTTGTCAAGAGAAGTGTTTGGACACAGAAACATTTATTTTTTTAGAAAGGTACAGTCAGCATGCACATCATATTCATAGGCTATTAAGACATACTACAATGCTATTTCAACCACAGTGAGCTTTAGAGGCTCTAGTACCTTCTCTTTTCCAGGATGTTTCCACGAAAAGTTGGTCTCCATAAAAATGGAGTTCTTTGACTATGTCCATATCAGTACTGTCCAAAAGACTGTATTTCATGAAAGCCCAAGTGGAACTACAGGTGAATATTTATATTCCAACACTCGGCCCTCAGTTTTACTGTAGATTACAGCAGATGCAAAAATAAACCTAGAATTTGCAGCTGTAAGGCTTAATGATGACCGATTTAAAGAAAACTTTCAAACTTCTTAAGCAAACACTGAGTGGAAGGATGGATACAAGCTGAAGAATCCATTAAGGGCTTTTTCTGCCCAACTTTCAAAAACTGCATTTAATAAATAGCTTATAACTTCTGTGATAAGCTACATCTACATAAAGAAAGGGGAAAGATATATTAAAATATGAGACTGAGGAAAAAAAAATAAAACTGCTATCACATATGAAGATGTTCCAGATCAACTAAAGGTTCTGCTGGCAAAAGGAAACATAAAAGCATTCTTCTGTCTGCTTCAGGCCAAAACCCAGAAAATTTAGTACTATCTACCTATTATAATGGTGAAAAATAATCAACATACGGTCCCCTACACCAAGTGGTAAAAAAGAGTTGTAAAAAAACTAGTATATTCATCTGGCACAGCTTTTAATAGAGTACATAGTCAAAAGCTATTGCACCACCTTAAATCTTTAAATAGTTCAGTATTAAAAATATTTTAATAGTTCAATAAGAAAATTAATACATGCTGGCTGTAAATCTATTTCTAGCAATTCAGTACTAATTTTCACCATTTAGAACATAAACAGAAAGGCTGACACATGACTGACATCTCTTACCTCTTCAGATCATAGAAACATTAAGGTTGGAAAAGACCTTTAAGATCATCAAGTCCAAGCATCAACCCAACACCACCATGCCCACTAAAACATGTCCTGAGGTGACACATCTACACGTTTTTTGAATGCTACCAGTGATGGTGACTCCACCACCTCCCTGGGCAGCCTGTTCCGATGTTTGACCACCATCTCGGTGAAGAAATTTTTCCCTAATACCCAGTCTAAACCTCCCCTAGCGCAACTTGAGGGAGTTGTCTCAAACCCCTCTTGTCCTATCGCTAGTTACTTGGGAGAAGAGACCAACACCCACCACACCACAACCCCTTTTCAGGTAGTTGTAGAGAGCAATAAGGCCTCCCCTCAGCCTCCTCTTCTCCAGACTGAACAACCCCAGTTCCCTCAGCCGCTCCTCATAAGACTCGTGCTCCAGACCCCTCACCAGCTTCGTTGCCCTTCTTCAGGCAGACTCCAGCAACTCAATGTCCTTCTTGTAGTGTGGGGCCCAAAACTGAACACAGTATTCGAGGTGTGGCCAAGTGCCAGGGCCAAGTACAGGGGCACAATCACTTCCCTACTCCTGCTGGCCACACTATTTCTGATACAGGCCAGGATGCTGTTGGGCTTCTTGGCCACTGCTGGCTCATGTTCAGCTGGCTGCCAACCAGCACCCCCAGGTCCTTTTCTACCTGGCAGCTTTCTAGTCACTCTCCACGAAGCCTGTAGCATTGCATGTGGTTGTTGTGACAATCTTGTGACAAACGGTCCTGTCCAGAGAAAAATCACTACTGTACCAAGCTGGGAAAGTCTGAATTCTAAGCAGCTAAGCAAATTCTGCTACATACTTCAAGATCTTTAAGTTATTACATTGTTAAACAAGAGTTCCCTTAACTTAGCAGTTATCGTTCTAAACTGTTTTACCTTGCATGATTCCTCAAATTTTTTAAGCGATTGCTGGATCAACATACATAACTGAATATATTTTCACTGGAATTCAATTTTAACTATTAAAATCCAACACTTAGTAAACTCTTCTCTGTCATGAAAAAACATACAGTCAAAATCAACTGCATATTCTTCAATTTGGTCATGTTCTCTCTCCAACTCCGAGCAGTTAAGTGAATAAATTTCTATAATAAATAAGAAATAATATACTCTTGCACACAACTCACTTGTTTGCCAGCATGTTTGACAACTGCCCCGATGACAGGGTTCTTCACATCTATGAAGCCCACAGTTGAGTTTACGGCCACAAACCAAAGAACACTTATGTTCTGTGTCCTAAGGGAAGGCAAAAAAGAAAATCAGAATTAAACTATAAACCCCATTGGTTTATTTTTCTCTTTGAGGTCATAATCTACTAATTGACAAAACTGTACAGTGGAAAAAACAGCCTAGGCTAGATCTATACAGTTTTTCCATCATTGTATGGATACACAATTTTTAAAGCGGATTCTGTTAAAACCTCTGTTGCAGACACAGCTACAACATAGCTTATGCTTCTTGTATTAAGTAATATCCTTTCCCTCCCCATTCGTCCTGCAATCACTGCATTGACAAAAGGTACCTTTACCCCGATTTAACTGCATTTAGGCTGGAATGTGGTTTTACATTTATAATGATACCCATAAAAAAAATGCTGTGAAATAAATGCACACACACAAACTTTTTGAGCATGATCAATACTGCAACCAGAGACTGAAGATGCACAAAAACATAAAAATACAAAAGCAAAACATGTCTTTTAACATCAGAACCAAAACCAAACACACATCACAATGAACAACTTTATAAAACCACATGTAAACTTACCACACAGCAAACTTCATTACACTTGTGTCGTCCACATGATCTTTTCTTGTTGCATCGCTTGTCACACATGAATGTAATAGCAGCTATTAAAAACAAAAAAAAAAAAACCCAAACAAACAAAACAAGAAACAGTCATGACTTTTAGGTCTTTGCTTATGCTGAGAACAAAAGCTGCAATCACAGTATTACGCTAAGGCTGTTGCAAAGCATAGTCTAGAACAGACTAATACAGACTAAGTAAGCATAAAAACTTTCAAATTACTCGCTCTTACATATTAATCCCCCATGTAAGCACTTGGCTTCCTTTAAACAAACCTTTTTTCAGAAGGATTTTGGAGAGCAAAATACATGAAACTAGTTTATTTCACATTAGTCTTTACACCATAAAATCTGCACAGTATAACACAGAATACAGGATATTCTGATACACTGGAGTACCACAAACATCCAATTTAAGACTGCTCAAATTGGTAAGACAGTAAGAGTCAGATAAATACAACTACTGCTGATATGCTCATGAAACTAGTGTTAACAAAAGAACATCCTTATCACCATCCATAGGTAACAAAAGCAATCATTTCTGGATTCTGAAGAGCAAAGTCTTCATAGACAAAAGTTCAAATTATGAAATATGCTTATTACTACCTTATGTATCTTGTAAATAAGTACCTCAGTATGACAGGGGTCCATCAAGTAAATATTTCAGAGAGGTGAATTTTGAGATGCTACATCCAGAATACTAAGACATGTCAAATGGGAACTCTCTGCCAAGCTCAGATGCAAAGACCAGCAGCATATAACTGTGAAGCAGAACCAAAGCTCGTATTTCTCCAGGAACTTGGGCAAAAGCAGAGCAAAAGCATTACTTTGCATCTGAGCTGTGCAAGTTGACCCAAAGATACACAGGATGCTGGGGGTGGGAGGGCAACCTTCTGAATAGAGCAGGTGGCATAAGAAACTGTTCAAATTGAAATAGACGACTGGAATCTTCGAGATCAAATACTGGTAAGAGACAGATAGAAATGAAAGACTTATTTCAAACCTCTTCCCAAAAGTAGCAGCATCTCAAGAAATGACCAACTTGGCAGGGAAGTATGGATAAAAGAAGCAGTACTGATCAGATGTTTGCCAACTTAATCAAACCCCAAATTAATATGAGCTGTGTATTGTTTTTAAAATAATTTCACATTATATACGTAACATAACATTGTACCTTTATTTCTGAGGAGAGCACATGGGACTTCCTAGGAAACAAACAGGGAGCCATTAGGTCAAAACAGATGAAACAACTGAAACTTACTTATCCAGAAAACACCTAGTCACAAGAAAGAAGCAGCACTCCCAGTTTCCATACATATAGCGAAACATATATAAATGTATACAAAAGCAAAACAAAAGGTGGAAAAAAAAATCCTCAAACCTTAACACAATACTTTTTCTTCAGAGATTCAATACCAATTAAAAAAACTGTAGTTTTGTATTCCCCACTTAATTAAGCAGATAATGCTGTGATGTAACCAGAAACAAGTTTGTCCTAAGAAACCAGAAACTTGCATGGAGGAAACCAAAAGCGCTCTCCCAGAGAACACTGACAGAGCACATAAATTTGTGCCCTGAAAAACTGTCCCAAAAAGTCTGACTTGATTAAAAAAAGAGAACAAGAGAGTGAAGCCAAGTCTCATGATCAAAGAGGTTTACCTAGATTAAAGGTCTTAACATGAAAAAAAGGGTGATGAAAAGAACATTGTTGATTGACTACCTTTAAAACCTTCAGTCATCACAACTTTACATTCTGAGCTGTCATTACTGAGCATCACATTTTTCATGACTGATTTAAGTTATCACTGTAGTTCACTCATACTTTTTCAAGAAGCAGCTTTCAAGTGTCTTGAAAAGCTGTATAAACTAAAACCCAAACCTCACTACTTTGTTTCAGGCCTCAAAATGAAAGACAATCTGAAGCCTTCTACCCCATAACTTGCAGCAGAAAACTATTCCAACCTCCAGAAAAGTCTCAGTTATTTTTATGTACTTATATATTCAGAAACCTTCTCTACTTATAGGTGATATATAACAGGTCAGAAAAATCATCAAGGTTCCTGTGATAGTAGCCAAATATTTCAAAGCTATGATTACAGAAAGTAGCATAGCTTGAAAATATACTAATAATTATATAAAAATTGCTGAGAAACTGCTGGGTCACTATATACATGTACAAAGAATGGGGACCAGTAAAAGCTTCATATTCTCTGAAAAAAATTCTAGAACAAATCTACAAGCTACTACTATACAGTTTTAGTAAGCTTTTTAAGTTAGGCTACCTTTCTTCTCTCAGTTTACATTACTCGTGGTAAAGCTACCATTCTTTGTGCTATATAAATACTGCAGGATAACATAGGACTCTGCAGCCAGCTTAAGCAAACAGGATTCTGTGTAAACTCTTCAAAAATACTTAAAAAATTGCCTTCACAGTAAGTAGCCTATGTTAGCGCTTCACAGTTTAATCTAGTTGGCGTCTAGCAGTTATTACACAATGGAGGTTCTTGCAACTAAGGAGCACAGCACCTCTTATACTTCTTAGCTTTCTTTTCCTCAATTACTTCAGCTCCTCTTTCCCCACAGCTTTAAAAAACAACAAAAATAAACTGTTTCCATGGTCAACCTTTATATGCTCACCTTTTTTTTGAAGCCACACCTACAATAAATATTTGATGTGTGAGAACATGGTCTACAGTCTCCTTCATGGCAAAGGCTTTCACATGTATGAACAAACTCTAGCAAAATGAAAATACAAAGATTAACAATTAATAAAAATTAAAATCCATGACCTGGAACTCAATATTTATTAGGAGCACCACTGGTCAGAGATGTTGCTGCTTATGTGCAGCTGGGTTTCCAAAAAAATTAACTATTTTGAGTTAAACATGCATAAAATTTTGCTAATATTTTCAACTTTTTAATCCTGAATCTACAGACTAGACTTTCAGGTCCACAATTAACATTGAAAACGTATACATTTTAAATATTTTTACATGGACCTATAAAAAAAAAAAATGTGTGATACTATCCTACCAGGAATTTTAAGGAATTTTTTTTCTTCCTTTTCAGCTCAAAAGAATGACTTACTATGCACAGCTTCATATTTTACTTACTAGGTTAAATGAAATTCAACTAAAAGCTAAATTACTCATTCCCAGTCTCTTTGTTGTCCTTGGACTGACAGAATGGATCAGTCATTAACAAAAAGCCCTCGTCTTGACAGCATTGGTTTCTCTCCTCTCTAAAGTCTAACAAATCTCATAGTCCATAAAACTGGAGCTTCACACAATCTCACAGTTAAATACACTTCAGTTACCTAATGCACGCACTGAAGTGTCAAATTGCTTCTGCACATAACTTACTCCAACTTTCCAACACTACTTTTTACTTCATGACCCTCTTACAGCAGCAGGAAATCAGTATTTACTGGAGGCATATGAACAAAGTCATTTATCTCTACCAGTCACCACGTGAAAGTCAAAGATCTAGGTGGGCTTTTAAAAAACATCAGTACATATTACTCTCTGAGAATTCCTACAGCCAATATAGGCAAGGTACATGTAAACAAATTATAAAAGGCTAGCTAGGGTTAGTGCTTTCTAGACAAATGTATTTCCTGATATTAAGGTATCATGATGAACAAACAGCCAGACTGCAAGCTCTGCAGTGGCTTTTACACTCAGTTCGGTTAAAACCCAAAATCACTAATCAAATATTTATTCCTTGAAAGGAAAGAGTTAAGGACCACTCTTTTTTTTTTTTAAAACAATGATGTAATTTGAATACTCTGATGCAGAAAGTTCTAGTTACCATAGCTACCACAGGAAAGAGGTTTGCCACATGTTTTTCCACATGATGGGATAGGGTCTGTGCATATTTTACGTTCAACACATCCTAACTCCAGTAACTTGCTGAGAGGAGTCTGACCACAGGGACAGCGATACACTACTTGTGGAAGTCGTGGACAGAGCTGGCAAGGCTGAGGATGGCATACTTGTGTACAGTTGTGCCTCCCACAATTTAATTTTCTGAGGGGGGGAAAAAAAAAAAGGGAGAATTATCTAAGAGTATCATGATCATGAGTGGGATTAAAATTAGCTTTTTTGTGTTCAAAAGCCTAAATTATAGTGACCTTACTTGCCACATATATTCTGACATGAGAAATTCCCAAATCCATCAGAGAATTCTTCCTTTGTCCCACACAATACTTCTTTAAAGTTGCTTCCACAGTAACACACTGAAAGAAAAGCAATATTCCATAAAAAACAACACAAGAGAAAACCAGTGACAAAACACCTCCAGCAGTACAGCAAATACAAAAAGGTTAAATGTGAAAAACTGTTAGTCAGTTTTCAGAAGGATAATGAAGTTGCTCTTTAGATTTATGTCAGCAGTAGAGGATTCTTGGTCCTACAGAAGCTGGAATTCTTGTTTTATTTGTTTTGATAAGGAGATAAAAACTAAATGGGAAGTACTATCTGCACAAAAAGCTTACTTAAAGCAGTATACAGAAGTTAATTATTACCTTAAAAGTTGGTAAAATTACCTTGCAATGTTCTATATAAACTATTTAACAAAAATTTATTTGTATACTGGCACACATACTTGGACAATTTAATTTCCATTCAAGACCAAGTCTAGAAAATTTTAACAGAAACCATGAGTAGCTTGTTGCAATATGCTTTCCTGTATCTCTTTCTATTCTTCCATGTACTATTTAATCAAGTCTCAGAATTATAGTAAAAGATTAAGTAGGATCATAGGACAATTCAGGTCAAAAGGGCCCTCAGGGGATTAGCTAATCCAAGCCCTCACTTAAAGCAGAGGCAGCAATGAGGTCAAACCACGTTACTCAGTGTTTTATTCAGTTGAGTCTTGTCTTGGAAACTTGGGGGTTTTCAAGAGTTTTTCTTCATAGTTAGTTTCAACTTAGGCTCATTGTCTCTCATCCTCCCCAACCATGCACATCTTGTCTCTGTCTTCTTGATTACCTCCTATTGAAAGGCCACCAGTCAGCCTTCTCAAGCTAACGAAGTCCAGTACTACCAGCCTGTCCTAAAGAGGGCACATGCTCCAGCAGCCTAATCATGTTGGCAGGATTCTTTCTAGTTATGTTCATATTCTTATTTAAATATATAGTGATAGTGACACATTTTCCATTTTTTAAATATTCTAACAATATATTTTGGTTTTGTTAAGCAGAAGTGAAGCACTTGCCTCTTGGTACTCTTTTTTCCCACCTTTTTGTTTTCATAGTATAGAGTGGATATACATAAGGCACTCCAATACTTACCTTGCTGTACTGTTAATTGGCAAGGTGAACATTTTCCTGCATGGCACACTTGAGTACAGCTGTGCTTACCACAGTTTAAAGTATTTCCACATACATTAGAACAATGTATTTTTGTTGATTGACCACAGCGAACTGAATGACTGTAGAGAAATGACACCATAGTCAGTCAACTACCTTAGTATCTATAGAGCATTTATTAAAACAGAAAATACTTTTTCAGTAAAACATCAAAGCCTTTGAAAGGGACCATAATTTATTAATGAAAGAGTTTTTAGGAAATAATCCCCCCTATTTTTCCCCCTGCTTCCCCTCTCCTGCCTCCCTAAAGTTGAACACATCACAGCAGTGAGTCTACGTAATTTTTTTTCCATTTTGTTGAGAGAAAAAGTGACAGTACAACTTGAACCTAACGTATGGTTATACATCATGCCAAAAGAGCAGAAATTTCTATTACAGACATCTTTCCAAAGACTTAAACCTTCCTAAGTTGACTGAGCACAATAAAGATAAGGATGTGGGCCTTAATAATGAGTCAGTAGTCTATAAAGAGTTGGGTTTTTTAATTAAATTGGTAAAAAATTGTGACAAAACAATAAATTCTCCTCTTTTTCCATTCTGGCTGGCCTCATACAATGGCTGTAAAATGTACATTTGAAATAGTAACTTTAAAACATCTTAAAGTCAAAGGTGCCATACCATACATCTTGGATGTTAACACAGTACATATGAAAAAATGCTATTTAGAAGCAAGTTTTAAGCATTAAATGTAGTATTACAAAAATCACTAATCTGGTGAGGTGGCTGGGACCTGGGAAAAAAATAATAAAGCAAAGTTCATTGCATCCATTAAACTTTTAAATGCAAGGAATAGCTAGAATAAAAAAGGAGGTGATCTTACTATGTAAAATAAAATTCAGTAATCTACAACAAATCTATTTTTCTACTGAAGCCAAAGTGCTTTCAACTGCACATACTACCACAGAAATAGCTGTACCTTCTTTTGAAAAGTTAAGATCACTTAGATCTTAATTACATTCAAACTTTCAGCAATAGTTGTTAAAGTCTGAAAACCTTTTTCTAAGAGCAAGAATGCTAACACAGAAATAGTTTTTTGTTTGGTTTAGTTCTGGAAATGAGCACAGGCAAATATTCTACTACACAGAATCCGTTCTAGGTAGCTAGAAACAGGCACTCTAAAGACTCAGAACAACTGAATAAGAGATCACAGATACAGGTCAGTATAGCTTTGCTGTTGGTAATGACACTATATGCATCAAAAATGCAAGGAAAAGATACCTTTCAAGTCTGGAATATACTACAGATTTCTCTCTCGCTACTGGTACAGCTTTCTAGAAATGTACACATTATTTTTGGAATTATTATTTCTGGAATGGAGTAACTCAATGTTACATTCTATTAAGATAGAAAAGGTGTGAACATTTTTCTACTTCTTTCTCTGTATCTTTTACAAAATAAAATCAATAAATACTAGAATAGGATTTCAAAATCAAATCAACTCTCAGACTGCTTATACAATTCAGCTACATGTACCATAAATTGATTTTAACACAGACTCTATTACATGTTTTTCTTAAAAGATTAAAAGTAATTGCACTTTTTAAAAATATAAAATTCCCAAAATTGTTTTAGTGCACAAATAAAAGTTACAGCTCAGAATAAATTTTGTTCTGTAAAATTTTAATAAACTAGAAGAAAGAAAAATGTTATTATATAGACTTTTAATAAACTATTCTTATATAAACTGTTGTTTGTATAATAGAAGCATTCTCACCTTGTTTGCCCACATTCACACGTTTTTGTTACAAAGGCTGGGCATGAAGGGCAAGGTCCTGGATGGCACAGGCTTAAAAGTAGAGTCAAAAAAGCAAATAAAATTGTAAAGTTAACTTTAGCTTTTCTACAATCCCAGAGAAACAATCCACCAAGACCCAATCCAGAGTGCATTACGAGAACATTATACAAGCCACCTATACTCCTGCAGGGTATAAAAGCATTAACATGAGGAAAAAAAAAAAATTAGATTACAGTTGCATAAGCCTCAAATGTCACTGATGAAGAAAAACTTCTTTTTCCTGCTGCTGTCAAATCAACAGGAACAGTACTACTAACACATTCCATATTTTGCATTTCACCAGCAGGCATGCATCAACTCAACTGTGTTCACTACTGATAACACTCAAAACAAACATCACATGTCAAAATCATCAACATATTTCTTTCTTCAGAGGTCCTAAATAGATTAGAGACAAAACCTTCTCTATGAATTTCTTCTTTTAAGTTAGTGGTTTTATCTTTGAAGTCAGCATTTCTAACACCACCCATAAGAGTTGTTGCTCCTCTTCCTGTAAGGCAACATGTAGGAGATGCAGCAAGTCTGCCTCAGTTTTCTTTCTTACCATCAGGTGCAATTTCCTGTGAGTGTCAGCAATGCCAGTCCTTTACGTGATTATCAGATATCACCTCCTACTTCAAGAAACTCTAGATGGTCCCTATCTGCATACAAGACCTCTGTCGGGCACAGACAAGCCCAGGCTTGTGAAATTATACTTAAGTAACTTGTCTGCACTCTTCCTTAGCCAGCCCCCAGCTCCCTTTCTTTACAAACATAGCAACTCTCATGTGGAGCAATCATTAATCAGCAGGACTGACCAGCCCAGATGTCCCAGCCAAAAGAAAAAAGAAACCATCAAAAACACAGGCTACCCAATTACATGGTAATTCCTAAATACCCCAAGTACAGTTGCTATGCAAGCACTAATTAGTACAGCAGTTACTATAGTCATATGCAATATAATTGAGTCATGCCAGCATTGTCAACAGTGGTCTGGCTCTGTTCTTCCCCTACCATTCCTTCCAGTTGACAACAAGGCCTAATCTATCACTCAACTTATGCCAGCTCTAACAGTAAAGCCAAGCCACTACACGACAAAGCAATTCAACACAAATACACCACCAAAAATAAAACCAAAAAACAAACCACCAAAGAAACCACAACCCTCCCTCTTTGTTGGTCAGTTTTATGGCATAATGAACAGTTAAATAAGCATCAGAGCAGGCACGAGGTAAGGGAGGAAAGAGCAAAACAGGTTGGAGCAGGGAAAACATGATACATAGGGAAACAGGAAGAAACAAAACCATTAAATTAAAACTGTATTGTGGAACTTCAGACAATGAGAATTAACTTCGGCCTTCTGCAACACAAAACATCTTGTAAAAGGACAGCACTATATATTTCACTGTCTTGACATCAATTCTCACAGAACGATGTAGGATTCTAAAGGCTGGATGCCAGCTTATAAACTTAAGAATCAGATTAAAAGCAGATATAAGCTCAAAATACTATGATCTAGGTCATTAACTTGGAAAAGGGAGAAGACACATCATCTTCAGATATCTTGACACATTAAGTTTTCTACCTAGTATGTTATTTTCCTCAACACTGTCATTCAAGCAACATCAACATTGCTTCTGTACGCCCAGTCTTGGCACACTTTCTGATGATACTATACCACCCAACAGCAATTTATACTGACCACAGATATTTTTAAGTCATAAACACCTATAATAGTAGACTGCAGACTTACAGCAAGATTCCTTCTGTTAGAAGAGTATCATGCAATTACTTTCCAGACATCTCAAAGTTTTGATAAGATATATCTTATATATATTCTGAGACAGTTAAGTAAGCTTGTGTCATTTTGTTAACATGAACAGAAAAATTCTAGTAATGCAAAAACGAATCCTTTGAAACCAAACTTCTGACTTTAAAAGTAAGTATTCTTTATATATCCCACCAGATACACACTTGTACACTACTTATTTAGCAAAAGTCTCTGGTACAATTTGGTTTATGCAGAAGCTACAGGACATTTACAGTTCCAGTATTTACTTCATCAATACAACAACAGTTAAGATAAATTCAAATTTCATTCACACACAGAGGAAGTGCAGCAAAATTCTCATTAGATGATAAAGATGGGTGATACCTTAGAGTTTTAGTATGTTTTAAGGGACTAAGCAAAAAAGTTAAATGACTTAACAGTGTTACAAGCTAAACTCAAAAAGATAGACTGAAGACTTCACTATTAACTTCTGTTCAGTGAATGCAGAGTCTTATTTTTACTGAAACTTCATTTTCTATCATTAGCATGTAGGATTTATTTCACAATTTACTGCTGCTGCTCTAAAGAACTGGCACACAAGAAAGGTTGTGATGATAGACACACCTAGACATAATAAGAATTCAACTTCATTTGTCTGACAGTGAAAATACTAGATACTGTAAGATAGCCCAAGGGGACTTCCAGTAACTGCTGTGGAAAAGATAACAGCACCAAAGATCTATGAAGGAAGACCATACACCAAAGTTTAAACTAGTAGAGAGAAAATCTAATTTACCGCCTTTGTAAGACTTTTTTCAAATGCTCTCAAGGCCTTGCATAGTTCCAGTTGGCAGGGACAACTTCAGACTTCAAACTTGAAGTTTAAGTTTGTCATGAAGTTTATTATCAGGAACACTTTCTTGAAGGTTAAGCTAGAGGTTTCTTCGATGTGGAACCTAACAGAGCGAAACGAATTTCACTGTATTTAAACTAAAAATGTGAAGAGAACTCACTTTGTGAAGTGCCATGCATGCCACAGCTCACTAGCAAAGCACTCCCCTTTCAAACAGCTGCTTGCCTGTTCCTCAGCTCTGCAAGGGAGCTGTTCATATAAATGGTTACTAACCCATTTCAATAAATCTGAGCAAATATTGAAGATTTATTATTAAAACAGTGTAAATTAGCCTCTCACTTTCACCAAAATGGGCTACCTAGTGCCACACTTAAACAAGCATCTAACTAAACTTTACACCATGGAAAGGAGATTACCACAATGACATCTACATTAAAAAAAGTCAAACTGAGGAAATAGTTGGGAATTGGCCATCATTAAAAAAATAATCCATGTGCCCACACGCAAGGTTGCACAAGTTTTCCCATGACTTTTAATCTAATTCCTTCTTCTCAGCCACAAGAGTCTGATGCTTATTCAGTTTTAAAGGGAAAACAATTTCTCAAGTAACTTAATCCACTTTGATCCACTTCAACTTGCTACTTCATATTACATTAAGAATAATGTAACCACCTAAGCAGCACTTGGAATAGCACAACTGGCGCCATCAAAAGATTACATCACCAGTAACATCACTCTCAGAGCTGCTCATTCCACAGAGGACAATCATTCACGCAAGCCTAGCACATAGCATAACACAATGCATGCAGAAGGCAGACAGCAGGAGAGAGGCTGAAGTTTAGACCACCAACAACTATTACAGTGGCTTACTTAGAGCTCCTGTACTCTGCACATTTCAACTACCTGGCAGAGGGAGCAAATACAAGCATCCTAATGCAAAGCAATGAGAACAACATTACTCCGATGTCACATACGAGGAGAAAAGGGGATGAAGTTTGTTTGATCCTTACAGTGTCATGTCAGATAGCTGCAGTGTAGACACACGGTGTGTGGTTTGTGACAGCTTGGACAATACTGCAATTCAGATTCTGTTCCTAGGCACTGCATAAATAATTCTGATATAAAGAGCAGGGGATAGCTGTAAGTATCTAAATCTCCCATATCCTGTTGATGCAATACATACAAAGAAAGATAAGAAACCAAGCAAGAATCTCATGACTCAAAAAGCAGGTTCCCCAAGACTCAGATTCAAGTCTGGCCAATTAATAGGGTCCATAACAGGATTCATCCAGATTAGGTTTGTCAGAGGCTCAAGGACTGCAGATACAGAGGTGTGCTCAACTAGAAGACAATAGATGGAGCTGGACCTTAAACGAGAGTCCCACATACTTCAAATGCAAATGGTTTCCCAGAATACATGGGATTAAATACTGGAGAAAGGGCAGCATCAAAAACACCACACCAGACTCAATGCCCGTAACAATGGACACATCCCTACTATTAACTGAAGTCACACAGACTTGGGAAGAGCATGAATAGTTTACCCCAAAGAATTAACTGTCCTGTCACATTACGAGGTAGAAGATCTCGACAATGACACGAAACATTTGATGCAGAAGGGGAAGAAAAAAAAAAAAAGCGCTTTTATGATCTCAGTGAGCAGAATGGGATTTCTGGTTCAAACCTTCTCATCTTACGAGAATCTGTGGGAGCAGGTTCCCAAAAGGCACACAGCAGATCCACAATACAAAGGAACAGGTGCTTGCAAGAGTTCCAAGATCATCCAAACTCAAGCAAGAACTACGAAACAGACTCCTGGCCCTCATGGCAACAAGTCCACTTGTACTCTCAAGAGTACTCTCTTGAGAAAAAACTCTGCCCCGATACAAATCATGATCTGGACTTCTAGATTAGGTAAGGTTGTCCAGTGGGGAAAAGCCAGTAAGATGGACTGCCAATGGTGCATTCAGATGATAGAGCTCCACACCTCTAACTCCACCACTTCCTGATACAGAGGGAATCAGGTTTCTATTTGCCTTTTGATACAGCAGATGGAGGCAGAGTATGTTCTCATAAATACCTAAGACTCCCACACAGGAGGAAAGAGTGTCCAACATATACTGAGGAATGTCCAAAACTGGGTAACACTGATGTTAAAAGTGCATTCCTCTCCAGATCACTATCACAAGTCGGAGTGCCAAAACCACCCATTATCTTGATCTGCATCCTTGGTGTTTCCTTGCCTCCAGGACTGGATGATCTCAGCATGTTTTTTTACTCGTGGAACAAGCTGAACAATAACACTTCTAAATTTTCTACAACTTAAAATTGGTAGCAAATTTGGACTTTAAAAGGTCACAATTTTCACAGCTCTTGATGCAGATCAGACTACCAGGGACTATGAATCCGTAGCCTGCCATAGGCGCTACTGTTCAGAAGACTTCCCAGAAGGGAATGCCAGAGACTGAGCCTCTATTGTAGACTGGGACAAGAAAGAAGAGGAAAGAACAGCTGTTTCTTCAAGAAAGTTTGTCAGGTAGCAAATTGCAGTCAGGGAGTTCTCAAAGTAGTTAGAGTCTACTTATTTCTGACTGGGCAAAAGAAGTCCTCCACAGACACATGCCTCTCCTGAGATGGAGGCCAGCAACTAGCCTCCAAAAGAGTCAGTGTTCTGCTGTCAGGATATCGGCCACATCAACTGCAGTCTGAAAGCCAATCTATGTTTCAGTTTTACCCTGCAAACCACAGCAAAGATGATCTAGTATGATGATGAATTAAAAAAACAGCTATAGCGCTGAAATAGTCTGAAAAGAAATCCAATATAATATTTTCACATGTGGGAAAGAAATATTCAAGAGTAAAGAAATATTCTTTCATATAAGGAGATGTTGAAATAGGCTTGAAACAGAACCCATTAAATAAGTTTGGAGTAAGTTCTAGTAAAGTTCTGAGTTTTACTAAACCTTGGAAAAACTGTAAGATGACAGTCTATTTGTTCGAATGACAGAAGTTTTTGACTGTGTACCTAGAGAAGAAACATTTACTTCTGACTATTAAGAACTTCTCAAAACAGAAATATGAACAGGTATTATGGACCAACTTCCATGTGTGGACAATTAAGCTATATACACTGGGAACAACATATATTTTTCTGACTAGCAAGCATATTTATACATTGAAAAAGCTTGCCTAATGCTGTTAAATGTATCAATATAGTACTACCACACTGCTGAAAGAAGATCTAAAGGAAAACATCCAAAACTGAAAATAGAATCACTCTTCTTTGCCTCCCTTCATTGAATTATACTAATAAATGTTAGCAAAAACAATCCGAGTTATATATACTGATTACAATCTCCATGAGGGATTCTGGTTCAACCATCTGGTGGTCTCAACAAACAGATAAATACATATAATACCCTCTTATCTTCAATAGTTGACAACCCAAAGAAAAGAAAAAGAAACAAAGGGTAGAAGTGGTCCTTCAGTTTAACCAAGTACCACTGCTCCTAGATTAAGATACACAAACACTATTACTGGAAAAGCAGCACCTAAAACTTCTGGTGGACCACTGGATATATGTTTAAAATTACTTTTATTCACTATTATTTCTCTACTTCAACTAAAGTTCTTGAAACCAAGTGAGGCAGCTTGTTCAGTTCCTAAAATATGATGGAAATGTTGCTACAACTATTGTTGCTGACCTGTTCATTCTCTCATATGAACTCACTTTAGACATACAAGCACAAATAGCCTCCATTTCTTCCAGGCTTCAGGTGAGCTATAAACGAAATACACCTCTAAGCATACCCTATAGTAAAAACAATATCTAAATACAGTCCTCAGAAATTTTGGCTAGATTATTTCAATATTCATATGATAAACATTTACTTACATGTTACAAAGATGTGGACAGTCCAAACACTGTCTCTTCTTTCCACAAAGTTCCCCACAGCTATGTGGGATTTCGTTTCTGTTCCATTCAGGATTGTGCACCTTACCTAAACCATATCAAAGACAAAAACATATTTATTGCCTTGAATACAATATTGAATTTGGGGAAAAATCTCACACCAAAAAGAAAAATCTGTATTTTCAATACTGGCAGCAGTCTTTGAAAAACAAAATGACACAAGATATTTTATGTTTTTCTCAGCTTTCAGTGCTGATATATACTCAACTTCTTTACAAGTAAGTGCCACTGGAGTATCAAGCTCCAGAAGATTCTTTCCTTCTCAGGAAGGAAAGCGCGCTCAGCAGGCACTTAGGTAGCTAGTATTTTACATTAAACTGATAAAATACAAGAAAATTAAAAAGCCCCTTTTAGTTGGTCAGGTTGCATAGCAGGCAAGAAAATTAAAAGGTGAAACTTCCTTGCTGCCTCAACGTAAAGGAAAAAAAAAAGACACCATTGCCAGAAAATAAGATATAGTTGGTAAGGCAATGTGGAATAGTGGCAGTATGAAATGACTGGGCAAATTATTAAAGTCACTTTTCTAAAAAGACGCAGACTCTACATAAACATTAAGGCTTGACATTTTTATGAATGCAGCAGAAAGTCTTGAACAAGAAGTGATAAATCCAGTATGTTAGCTTCAAGTATTCTGTATTTCAGACAGGCACTGAAAACATATTTTAATTAATCTGACATACTGTTAGCAAATCCCATTGCTCTAAGTGCATGAGATGATCATCAGGGTTAAAATTAATTGTCATGATTAACACATGCAAACCTAATTTTGTTCTCTGCAAGAGGGGAATTACATTAACAACGAAGCAACTGACCCAATGCTACCAATTTGAGTTGTAACAGTTTAAAACAAGAAAATGTATTTTTTGTGACATAGTTACATCATTTTAACTCTTTTAGTATACCTTTGTATATTCTACAAGTAGCAAGTTAGGAAAATATGAATAAGCACCACAGATGGCATTTATTCCCCCAAGTTTCAATTAAACTAGTTGAATACCCAGGAAAATGCTGAATATTAGAAGATTCAAAAGTAAAATAAGCTAGGTATTTCCTCATGGAATGGTGAAAAAACCCACACCTAACCACACTCAACACATAGTTAGTATTTTGCATCAAATAGAAGATAGCTTTGCGTAAGCAACTGCTAATGATACAGCATTTGGACATCAATGTAAAATTATCTATAGAAGATTAGAGCCTTATGTTCCAACATGGTCCTTCGCTAATATTAACCCTGTGGACAACTTGAGGTTCCTATTGTGGATGTCCCAAAGCAATGAAACAGTCTTTAAGTCTTGGCAGAATTTCTTTCCTATTTAACAGATGAACATCCTGTCTTAAAAGTGTAATTTTCATTCAGAATCAAAACATTCAAACTAAATTATCATCCCTGTACGTGTAAGATTGCACACATTGTCATACAAAAACTGTCTTACTTGCATTGCACTGTTCTTAACTGACTCACTGACACATTTAGATAAAGAGAACTTCAGATAAAATTTTTACATACTACACCATAGAAGTAGTTTCTTTAGGGCAAGTTCACTGACACCCAGTTCTTGTCTCAATTCCAGAATATGCTATTTTGTAGAAAGCAAGGTGAAACTTTCCAGTGACTCTGACTTAAGGAAGGGAAAGCTATGTAAAATCAACACAAATTTCAAAAGTGTAAATCCCAAACAAAATTTATTCGCATGTATGCAATTAACATAATTAATTTCTCCCTTTTTTTCATATACTTACAGCTTAGCAAATGCTGTACTCACTTCATTTACCTCTTTTATTAAACATGTATCTGCATAAAGGTCTGTAAAAGTCTGAATATGATTTCCTATTTAACCTGTATATGTCCCCGATCAACATAAATAGCAAAATTGCTAAATCAGTTTAAAGGTTTAGATAGTTGTATGCTTCAATTGTGTATTATTTTGGTGTATCTTGCCACAAAGACAAACATAAGATATGCAGGTTATTTCTGTCTTCCTACAGAAGGAAAGTTTGTAGGATAGCAGGCCAATTCTATCATTATTCTGTAAAAATAACTGTCTTTACATAGTGATACGAAAATATTTCTCATTTATGATTTAATATTTCATTTTTTAAATGTTAAGCAACATATGTGTGATTCTCTGCATAGCCACCTTCCAGTGTCAATGAAGTTTTAAACAAGGTTAAATTTCAGCCATGTAGGCAAACAAACAGCAGTATCAATTCAAATCAGAAAAAAGAATCAAAATGACCAAATTGGTTTTCTTTGCAAAAGCAAGCAAGAAACTCACCACAGAAACACGTGTAAGTTTTAGGAACTTGAGTAGAAGCATTCTGACAAGCTGGACATCTCCAACCACTATTACCATCTGTAGATAAAAAGATTTAAGATAAAAATTACTTGAAGTAAATAAAGGAGCTAATTTGCAAACCTAGAATAAGGGCTCTTGCCTTGTTGCTTACTACAGCTGCAACCAAGCTAAATTTTTCCATTTACTCAGAAGTAGTGAGAAAGCCAGTTAATAAAAATACATTTTATACAGTATCAAGATGAAGACAGCAGTGGTACTTCATTTGACCAGGTTCCAACTTTATATGAAGACAAGAACAAATTTTAAAATTGCACTTTTTCTATTATCATGCACCCTGTTATAAGACATTCTACTGGAATAGAGACAGTCTTCATCATATCTAAAGATGTGAGAAAAAAGTGTTAAGTTTGGGAAATTGGTGAGGAAAATATAGTTACTTATAGTCTTAAGCACCACCTGTATTTTCCTTTTTATTACCCTCTCATGTTATGAGTTTACATGTCTTGTAGGAGACCAATTTAGTATTGCTTCATGTCTAGAATAAATTAGTGCTATATAAACCAGAATGATCTACTTTAAAGGTGACAATACTTAGCTATTGACTAGGATATTATTCTTCAAGTTTGTATTTTATTAAATAGTAGTTTTCTTGCTTCTATAGTTCAGGACGGTGTTGGTTAACAGTAAAAGGAAGAATTTCAGTATAAGGAAAGCAACATTCATGAAGATGTTTCCCAAATTCAGTACATATGAAGAATACCAATGCGAAAGCACTACTAACACAAAGGGAGGGCAGGGAAGAGCAAGAGAGATTATAGATATAAAGATATATAAACTGATTAGCTCTGTCTCTCTTAACCAGTCAATTCAATGCTGATAAATTAATAAAGCTGTGATTTTAGAACTGTTCTTCACGATTAAGAAATCTGACCAAGATTTATATTTTCATATTACTAACACAGGAGGGACTGCAAACAGGAAACCCTATGTGTGACAAGACAACTGCATTGCAACAATAGGCACACCTAGGTTCGCTACTGGTTGGATTAGAGACTTCTTATGTTGACCATCGTAACGCACAATGGTAATGTTTTCACAAACTGGAAATGATTATAGACTGCCTTGACACTATTGAAATGCAAATTTAAGGCATGCCTATTCTTTTCAATACTTGGTGCCTATTCACACCCTTCATTACCCTGGCTCATATCACTGCGCCACCAAGACTCTTGCAGAGAGCTGTACAATCATGGGCTGATCAACTGTAAGACAGTGGCACAAGAAGTATACTCTCATATTCATGCTCAAGACCAACCTGCATTTCCTGACCAAGATTTTTTTTTTATTTGACTGCTGCAGACCGAAACATCTCCAAGAGAAGTGTTAAAAGCTACAGGTAGAAACTGGCAGCAAGGACTGAACACGGTATCTACTGATGAAGCTGTCAGCACCTTCCAAAGCTAGCATACTAAATACTAAGGGATTCCAATCTATGGGATTACTTTGTACAGTATACTAAACTATTACATTAACAATATAAGTTCTTCATTGTTATTCCATGTTATGTTTTTCAAAAGCTGTGAAGGTAAGCCTATCATCAAAGCTTCAAGCCAGCAAAAGGCCTCTCCTATCAACATCTTTCCCAGGGCAGGATGCCTAGTCTTCTACAAGCAACAGTTTCTCTAAAGTATAGTGAAGGTCCTTGTAAAATAGGAACATTTTACCAAGCAAAATGGACTTTCAAGATATGTTTTGTTCTTCTTCATCATTGATTATCCTTTGCCCCTCTAAGATATAATTACATTCATGTGTGTCCCCCCACGAGGAACATGCACAGTTCCCTTCCTCCAAAAATACAAGAAATAAAAGCTTTCTTCCTGGATTCAGATGCAATTACAGTAGGATAGAATGGCAGCAGGATGACTCCCAACATCCACAATTGCAAGGAGTGGTTACAGGACCAGTCCTCACAAACCTTGATTACTGAAGAGAGTGAGAATGAGGATGACCCCTACAAAATGAACATTTCACCTTCATGAAGTTTCTCATGAATAGGAGCAAAGTAGGCAGAATTCCAACTGAAGACACCAAAAGGACAGCTGAGTAAGCAACATCAACACACCTCACTCCCATTTACTGGAGATTGTTTTAGTATTTGCTAGCCTCTCCCTCCTCCTGGAATAAAAAGATTCCTTACTTGTAATTATTTAACAAATCTTTTTCTATACACTTTCATATTGCAAGTGCCCCTATCTATAGCACTTTCAGTCACAAAAATCTTTATCTGTGGTAGTATGCCCAGAAACCTGCCCTTTCCTATCACATATCTGTTGTCATAAAGGCACAGTGAACAATGTCCTCAGTTTTCAGAATCCTAAAGGATTAAGGGGCTCAAAAGAACCGTGAGTGGTAAGAGCTGGGAATTACATAGACTAGGGATCTTTACATGCAGTTTCAAACAAGCAACTTTCCTCTTTACATGCTTGCCTAGATGAGTCATAGGTAATTATGTAAGAAAGGATCCAAACACATCCGCTGGAATAAAGAGTAAATGCTAAAAGGCTACATTTCCAAATGCAGCAGTACAGCATATATACATATATATACACACACACACACACTGCTAGGTACATAAGAACTCCAAATAGAATATTTCAGTCACTTCAGCTGTAGCAGAATATACTAGAATCAACATTGGCAGTTTCAGGTTACCATTCCTAAAAGGTCTTTTGCAGTTTTCCAAGGAGATAATCTGTATCAGAATAAATTACTGCTTTGACTTCTGAGCTAGACACAATCAAAAGCTTTTGTCCCAGTTACAAAAAAAGTGACAAAATTTGTGTAATATCCAAGGCACACAGAATGGCTTCAACCCTTGAACAGCATGACTTAAGAAAAAAAAAAAAAGAAAGAAGAAAGAAAAAATAGGCAAGTAGATTCATATTCTGACCACTGAAACTCAGAAGCCATCTTTGAGGCCAATACTGGATTGGTACAGACCACTACTTGATCTGGAAGCAGAAGGCAGGGGCAGCAGAGGGAGCAGAAGAGAGACAGTTGTAATAACTCAAATATCTCCAATCCTTCCAGCCAAAATGAAGATACCAATAAAACTACCGTCCCTGCAAAGAAGGGAGCAGATGGCTTAAACTTTGTTCTACCATTGTAAGGGCACAAGTCAAACACCATTAAAATGTTAGTTTTTACAAGAAGTAGAAGGGAGGGGAAAAGAGACAACAATTTCCCCTTTGTAAACATAATACAGTAAAAGATCTTGTGTGCAATGCAGGTATTTTTGTAAAGATTGACCTTAGCTGTGCAATATCCAAATGCCACATTCCCCCAAGACATAATTCAAATTGTTAATAAGAATGCTTCTTAAGAAGAAAGTTATTTTCTTCCTTATAGGAAAGAATCTTTCCACATGATGGCAAAGCGATGCCTAGCAGAGCTCCTCCTCCTGACCTGGACATCTCTAATACACAATGAAAATCCATTCCCTAGTTCTGAGTGCCGCTGACAGTCTACATTGTAGAAATACTGAACACTGGATGTCAACCACAAGTCTAATGTAATCAGATCAAGAATAAAGCAATGCCCTATTACTCCCCACAAGATAATCAGGAGATTCTTTCACCCAGCTTAGCTAAACTAAAAGTCATTTTTCAGATGACCATCAAGACAACAGAAGGTAAAAAAGTCTCTGAGGGAAGACACCTTCAGTAAAACACATCTGAAAGAGTCCCCAAGAAGACAGCTACTGCAGGGTGCGAGAAGACTTTGTTATGGTAACTCAGGATAGTTCTTCACTTCTTCCCACCTGAGAATGTAGAGTCCCAAGCATATTTTATCTCACTGACATGGCAACCCAGGATAGTTCACTTCCCCCATCATCTATGCCCACCTTTGCATGGCTGCCAACCTGACAGCCAGCAGCAGATCTTTGAATCTGGACAGCAGCATTTGCATTACATCAGCGAGTTCACTAACAAGCAAAACAGGACATTGCAGATGTAAAATATATTAATCAGTGCCAGTTTTATTATCCATCCCTGTGGTGCACTCCTTTGAGCTTCACTCCCTAGTAGGGTTCCATAGTGTTGGGCCCATTTGATTAGTACTGGTGTCCTGGGGCTCCCACCACAGTAATGCTACACTTTCATTACAGCCAAAGCTTTCACTTGCCGAGTGTTGCACCTTGTCCCCGACAGATTCGCACCTGCTTTTCCCTCGTAACAGATACCCATTACTATTGATCTGGAAGAATGTTATCTACCTCATCCAAGTATTCAGGATTTCTCCAACACAATGCTGTGATCACAAAAAAACCAACTGAGACATTACATACACATACATACTTTCAGCCTCCTACTCTGTGTCATAGAAATAAGAGCTGCTGTAGGGCTCCAAATGGAGGGACATTCTCATTGAAACATTCAGTTGCTTCAAGAACATAAAAGAATGAACATTCTCGTGTTCTTACAAACAGAATATTCTCACTCAGCTGGAAGTGAAATAGAGCAGTGAAAAGTTTAGTTGCTGAGATTAGATAAGATTTCCCAGAATTCATTATAACATTTGCAGAATTGAGCAGATTTTAAGTAAATCATGTCCAAAAAACACACCTCAGTGTTTTTTCCTCTTCCAGAAAAACAGCAAATTATTAAGTTAGGTACATTACAGTGCCCTGTTTCTCTTCTGGTAGACAGTAATTACTGCCAGGGGTCTAGTGAATGCCTGCACATTATACAAAGCCTGAAAAGTAGACTCTACACCAAAACAACCTACCATAAAACAAATACACTCTGAACTACAAGTTCTGATCAAGATGGGGTAGCAGGGCCTTGCAGGTCAAGAAATACGCATTGGTGTCCTTAGTGGAGCTAGGGAATCAGCTCTGCTGAGGCCACCACCTTTAATTTCAATTAATGATTAGCTCAAGTTCTCTCATACACAGAATACAGTAACATATTTAGTGCACAAATTCTTAAAAGAAAAGCAAATGGCCAAAAGATATGGCTATTTGAAATAGTCAGGATTCTATGATCTAATGTCACTTTCTTGACAGATAAGCAAAACATCCCTTACGCAAGCAGATACTCTTTTGATCAAGCAATAAGCTGTTTCAGGGAGATAAATCAGCTCCAAAGAAGGTGACAGAAAATCAGCTAAGAGAAAAAGGTTCTCAGCAGTCACTCTCAGTTTGGCTTAGGATCTCAGTCTTGCCCAAAAATCTGTTCCCTTCTCAAACATTCCAACGCCTTTATGTTTCAAATCTCATGCTGATATTTGTAACTGCCCTTCTACTGTCCATATGAAGCATGACCCTACCCAGAAATCTGTCTATGCATCTTCAGAAATCCAAGAACTCTGCAACCAATCCTTTCTGCAGGAGATCTACAGTCCGTAAGAACTGTACTCCCCTCTGTACTGAACTTCCCTCAAACACTTGGAAGTAGGTGACAGACTGTATTTCCTCAGTCTGCCCAGAGACAGAAAGACAAATTAAAAATTATAAAAGCTAAACAAGCAGTGTACAGAAAAAATTAATTCAAGATAAATATTAGGCTTCAGAGTATGTCTACATGACAACTGAACACAGCAAAGAGGCTGCAATTCAGCCTTAACACAGTATCCAAAGGGCAGAATGTAGTGGTATGCGAGTTCCAAACAGTGGTATAATACAAAGAATCTGAAACAGTTTAAGCTAATGACAAAGGCAGAAGCTTTCTGCCTTCTCTGAATTTCATTTTATTGCATGACATCAGTCACAGGTTTCATGAGTATTTTGTCTGAGAAGAGAACTAAGTGGTTGAGTAAAAGCAGTCAACTAATGCTTGGAGTGCTGCTTCTGTTTGACTGCTCAGCCAAGCACAGATGAGAGAAGATGAGGCATTTCTTGGTGTGTAAAAACACAGCCACAGAGCTTTGCATCTTGATGGACTTGATTTCATTAAGTGATCTTACACTTATGTATCCAAACCTGGAAATTAGTTTTAGCTAGAATACTACAAGGAATCAAACCAGTTAGGAGGATTACACAAAGCACCTAAAGAACTGTGAAAAAAAAAAAACATTTTTTGTTTAAAACTTGCTTTGTTTACAGCTTACTGGTTAGCTTAGACACTATTTTAAGTATTTTGCCAACATATGAAACACATGAACTTTGCTATTATCTCACACATTTGAGACAGAAAGTGTGAGACAGAAAGTGTGTGCAAGAGAGAATACCAACCTTCAGCTTGTGAAGCTGGCGATCGTGCCCACTTCTTAATGCAATTCAGGTGGAATACATGGTAACAATTCTGACAGCTCCATACTGGGGCTACTATTCGGACCACCTCACAGCATACCATGCATTCATACTTCTCTGTGGTCAGCTGTTCAATCAACGACCCTGCAAATAAAATATATTACTTGTGCATGAAACATCAGTTAACTGAGAAACAAAATTAAAATTAGATTCCAAGATTTCATTTAAATTATAACAGGTATATTATCAGCAAGGTACTAATTTACTCCTGCAAGACTCCAGTTTGATAGTTGGTATGCATTGCTCTAGTTTCAGAGCAGGAAGAGGGATTCCCATATGAGATTGTCATAAAAGTAGCAATAATAATTTCCACTGATGAACAGCAATCTCTCTGATCTTACAAATTAGTAGTTTTATTTGTCTATATTACCTGCTGCAAAGAAAGCATCCCCACCTAAAGCTATACCATACTCAGAAGGGATAGCTGACCCATAAATGGTTAAAAAGCACAGACTCAGTCCCCTGAAAATAATGGCAGATACCATTTCCAAAATAGCTCCCAACTAAAGCATGCAAAGAAAGACTGCCATTTTGGAGGGGGAATTTCCTTAAGTTCCCTGTAAGAGATTACTTCTCTTCCCGCTTATTGTAAATGATGCTTCTCATTCAATAATACTGCTGGGAGAAAAACTGAGGTATCTTTAATTTTATGATTTAAGTAGAACCCAGGAGCATGAGAGTTAAATATATTTAAGTTAGAAAGGATCAAGGAGGATTTTGATCCTTGAGCTTCTCCTAAGGGAACAGGAGCTATCTTATGCTTCCTGATTATGCTACTACTTTCTCAGCTCTGAAGGAGAAGAGACACCGAGAAGCAAAATCTTCAAAAGATTCAATACCACAGTTAAGATAACAGGAACTAGGCCTCCTGTCTCTATCACTCTGGGCAGCAGGAGACCAAGCTGAGATGCTCTGTAAAAACCAACTAAACATAATTCTTAGTGTTTGTTCAACTGGAAAGGGATAAATTAAAAAAATAAATTTAAAATTAATTTTTTTTTTATTATCTTTTTAATTTCTCCTTCCTTATTGCCTCTGGCTGGGTGCTATAAATAACAGGAGACTACTTTCTCAGTGCACACTTAAGCTTATCTCAAACAGTAAGAAAAAGCTCGCTAGGCTGTCTAGAAACAGAAACCAGTACGGTGGCATGGAAGAGATTCAGTTGATTTCCATTTAATGTTTTAAGTCCCAAATGGTATGAGCTGGCACAAAATTCACTCAGTCAAAACCTGTGGGTCTGCTTTACACTGTCAAGGGCACATGCTTCTATTCTGAACTTCCAAAAATAGTATCCAGAGACTTTCTCCATTTCTAATTACCTTTTGATACTACCTGGGGAGGTGGGGTGTGTGTGTGTGTGAAATTCCAGTTAGGAACAGAATACAGTTCCTCTGTCTGGCATTTTCCTACTTCTATATACAACATGAGGAAACTTACTCTGCAAAAATCAGTTTTAGGATTGTCCCTCTCAAGTCCCATTGTTCAGAATGCTCAGACTTTTACTCCCCACTCCCGCAACATACATGTTTTAACATGGTGCTTGATCAGGCCATCATTTGCAGTTTGATAGTAAAACAAAATAATTTAAACAAAATCTGTTCTTCCCTAGTAAATTTACAGAACACCTCCCCACTCAGAAACTGCACATTTACATTTAATTCTACCCTCTGAAACTGCTACTGACCTAATGCGAAACAAGCCTCTTTACCTAGTCAAATGTGAAGGCAGTTTAAATTATTCAAGATCATATCTTTAGTACAGGAGTACAGGACAGTCTAGAAAGCTTACCTGTATGAGTTTCTTTGTTTTTTGGTACATCACTCTGCTTTTTCCAGTACTGGGTCCAGCTGAAATGAAGTGCAGGTGCCTGATCCCCCCTTAGCAGGAACTTTCGTCCATTACATCTGACAGAATCAGACAACTGATGCCTGGTTTCACTGGGCAAGTTATCATTGTTTTTGTGAACACAGAGATCTTTCTTCCTCTCATTTTTATCTTTTGGAGTATATGCAAGAGAAGACTTCTTACCTACTTTTGTGTTTTTACTACGGTGATAATCATGTCTTTTCTGACACTCCTTTTCTACCGGAGGTTTATTCCACACAGGCTTCCGGGGATATCTTTTGTTTACATAATTGTAGCCTTTCTGCTCATCCCCACTACCAACAGGTGCATCACAGAATGCTTTTCCAACAGATGATTCTGAAGAGTCAGACTGAGTCAAATCCAAAGATGGAACATTTCCAAACAGCTCTACTTTCTGTTTAGAGCTCACTCTCTTTTCCCGGTCATGTACCTGCTTTCCCTTCTCCCTGAAACCTCTTCCAGATGCATGCATCAGATGCGTTTTCTTTGGCTTTGCTCCTCTACTATCTGCATTAGGTACCTCCCTGTCACTCTCCGAGGACAGAAAGTCATTGTATCCCCTAGGAGGTGCTCTTCTCCCAGGTAATATTGCAGCATCTGAAGTTCCTGGACCTGCAGCAACATCAGCAGTACTTTGCCTTATCTTACTTCTAGTACATGTGCTATCGTTTCTGGATCTGTGCCATCTCTGGCTTTGCAAGTTGCGATTCTTCAAACTTTTACTGGTACCAAAATACTGGTGGAAGTCTTCAGAATTCCCATACTGACCTTCTGGATTACAAAAGCCATGATGCTTTGTGGAAGAGCTTTCATAATCTGTACCTCTTTCAGAAGACAGACTAGGACATGGTAAATTATTTCTATTCTGATTACTGTTAGAGTCTTTCCTATCTTTATTTACCCAGTTTGTATCTGTGAGCGGTCTTTCTCCTGGAATGGAATCAGCAGCATCAGGATTGAAATTTGATGCACCTAAAAAGTGAAAAAAAAAAAAAAACAAACCCACCTATAGACTATTAAATAATAAGCATTTATTTTCAGCAAAACTACCACACATGCAAACACCTGGAAGTTCAGTCAGTCCCACACTTGACAAAACAACTGCAAACAAATTTCCAGAAACTAGAGTGCTTTGTGGAGGTTACCTTCTCTCATCATCATTGGAGAAAGACTGTGATGATCCAGAGAGAGGATAAGAACATAAAAACCATAAGGTGAAGGAAAACATTTGAAGCACCACTGTATGTATACAAGACATTCAAGTGTGATCATAAGCATTAACATGTGCTGAAGCTTCTCCTAGCATGTTTACATATACACACAGCTCTGAAGTGGTCCGGCAGTTGGACTCGCTCATTGTAGGTACCTTCCAGATGAACTATTCTATTCTATTGTTAGGACTGCAGACTCTAGTAGGTACAAAATATTAGGCTTACACATCTGAAAGAATTTGGACTGCAAGCAGTTTCCCTGGAAACATCCTATTTTTTCACATTTGCACGTGTATCCTGTGTAAAGAAGTCAAAATATAAAAGTTGTCCTTTTTACTTTCTATAACTACACTTATTTCAGTTTTTCCGATGTTTTGCAGTTTCTTTTCTATCACTAATAAAGAGGACTACAAACATAAATCACAGTCCTTTTACGTTATAATGTAAACAGCAGTCATTCAATATAGATAACTTAAAATAGTTTCACATATTTTGATCTGAGACAGGATGCAATCCTATAATTACATATAAACCTTATTTGAAACAACCCATTTTATTAGTCGGTTTAAGTTTTCTTAAAGACCCTAAAATTTAAAGTCTGACAGATAAATATAACAAGGTAAGTCAAATGGCTTCTTAAAGTTTAATAAAATTATGTTTTTAAAAAACCACACAGCTTGCCTCTACAAAGTATATTGTATTATCAAAGACCATTGTTTATTCAGTTATAAGATATGGTATGTAAAATGTATGCATGAATTATAAAAAAATTGCTGCAGAGGGCTCTCAAATGAATGCAGTAAATAAGCTTGAGAAAGTATGTTCTGTAGATCAGTAAAACATACTACCTTATACTAACATTAAAAACATGCTGGACATGGCTTTAAAATATAGTCAAATTGACTTTTGAGCGTGGCCTCCAAGAAACATAACCAGAACTTGAAATGTAGCTGTGGAAGTGATATTTTTGAAAGCACTTTTCAAAGAATTTATTAGGTTTGAAGAAACAGATGGGAAACCAGGATTCAGATATTTAAAAGCACCTCCAAAATATGAATAATTCATTAGGACTTTTTATATCACCCACGAATAGGATTTCTATTCTTACTGTCAGCTTTTACATGATAAAAAAAATTCCAAAGTGATAAATTCTACTAAAACCCATTTCTGTCTGCCAAGACAAGAAGCAGCAAAATACACACACAGGTGTAATAATCAATAACTAATGCTGGTTCAAATTTCCTCTGATATGTTTACATGTACATACACATAAATCCCAAGAAAAAGGGAACTTCCAAAGCTAAATTCCAGCCTGTATTTCTATAAAATAAACAAAGAAAATCACAGTACCTTTAGAAACAACCTCTACATTGCAGATTTTAATATCCCCAAGAGCTTGAATGTGAATTAAAATGAAGCATATGAAACTCATATGGTTTCATGCCTATTCTGCCGTAACATTACACATTACATGACCTCTGCATTAACTGTGGACAGAACCAGAATACCCTGGCAAAGTTAGGTGGTCTGTGTGAACTATCCTTCAGAAAAAGTTTTATGAGGACATATGAAAATATAAAGCAAATTAGTAAGCATATGTCTCATTTTAGTAAGTACAAGCTTTGCTTCAAAAACAGAGCTTATTTTAGGGACCAGTAGAGCCAAACTTAGTAACTTAGGTACTTTTTTTATGAAGACATTAATAATGACATTTGAAGGTGCCACTGAAAGACATCATGCCTAAGTGACATTTCTTAGCAGTTTCAGCAAAATCTAATTGAATTTAGCTTGAAGAGCCATTAAACAATGTACACTAATTAGGCAGAGACTGTATGATAATTAAGAATAAATATAAGAAAGAAAATATTTAAGAAGTCCAGCCAGAAAAAAATTATAATAGGTGCAAGAGTCCACAGAGTAGCCCCTTAAGTGCCAGAGGTAGTACTTCTTTATTCTTAAATGCACTCAGCTCTTTCTCCCAGGTAGAAATAACTCTGATTTTCCTTCTGAAGCTTCAGATCAATACAAAACTGGAACTAAATAAATAACACTGAAGAAGACTGTACCAGTCTTTCGACCGGACTAGCATTTATTTTTAAGTGACCACTTCTTATTGAGATACCCATAAATTCAACCAAAAATAGCATCACCATGAATAACGTGTGCAGTTTTGGGCTCCACAATACAAGAAGGCAATAAAAATATTATAACATGTCCAAAAGAGGGTAGCAAAGATGGTGAAAAGACTACAGGACATGACTTAGAAGGAGCAGCTGAGGATACTAGCTTTGTTCAGCTTGGAGAAGAGGGGACTGAGGGGTGACCTCATTGTTGTCTGTAGCTTCCTCATGAGGGGGAGTGGGGAGTGAGGTGCTGATCTCTTCTCCCTGGTGGCCAGTGATAGGACACGAGGGAATGGCTTAAAGCTGTGTCAAGTGAAGTTCAGATTGGGTAGCATTAGGAAAAAGTTCTTCAATGAGAGGATGATCAAGCACTGGAAAAAGCTTCTCAAGGAAGTGGTCATGGCCCCAAGCCTTTCAGTGTTCAAGAAGTGTTTGGATAATTCTCCTAGATATCTGGTTTAACTTTTAGGTTGCCCTGCATGGACTCAGGAGTTGGACTCAATCACCCGTTTGAGTCCCTTCCAACTCAGGATATTCTATGATTATATGTTCTGTTTATATACTGGCTCCCACTAGGAGACAATAGTAATTTCAGGACAGATGTCTTCAGTTTTAAAGCAATTCAAATAACCTATTCTTTCACCTAAAGGCAGACAATAGTATAGAGTGCATACATAACAATCTATTTGTGTCAACACTGCATATATCCAGACAACAAATGGCCCAGTCAGCCGAACACAAGTTACAGGGAAGACGCTCCCTGCAGGTCTTATGGTACCTATAATATATTACACTGTACCTCAAAAACCAACCAACCAGGAATGGTGCATTACAGAAATCTGAGGCTCTCCCCATAGCATTGGAAGCTTTAAACCTCTTCCTCACAAAACACCAAGCTTTATCTTTTCTGTCTTCTCTGATCGTTTTATTCACCTACAGCATCCTATCATTCCCAAAGACACCATATATTTACAAAAGTTGGATTTCTTTTTAAACAGGAAATACAGTTTCAGGCTTAAAGTCTCAAGCAGTGCAACCCATTTTCATGCAAAACAATCTGTCTGCCCCAAATTTACTGTTTATTCCAACTGTAATGGCTCATCTAATGAAAGATACCCTCCCTTCCCACAACCCTTGCCAGAAATCATTACAGAAAGATTAACACACAAAACCATCATTGCCATAGAAACACAGAACGGCTGAGGTTGGAAGGGACCTCTTGAAATCATCTAGTCCAAACATCTAGCTCAAACAGGGTCAGCCAGAGCAAGTTGCCCACAACTGTGTCCAGCTGGGTTTTGGATATCTCCAAGGATGGAAAGGCCACAACCTCTCTGAGCAACCTGTTCCAGTGTATGACCATCCTCACAGTAGAAAGGCTTCTTCTTCTGTTCAATGGAATTTCATGTGTTTTAAGTGATACCTGTTGCCTCCTGTCCTTTCACGTAACACCACTGAGAAGAATCTGGCTCCATATTCTTTACTTACTCCCATCAGGTATTTGTACACAGCACTAAGATCACTCTGAGACTTCTCTTCTCCAGACTGAACAGTCCCATTTCTTTCAACCTCTCCTTATATGAGGGGTGCTCCAATCCCTTAATCATCTTCATGGCCCTTTGCTGGACTCACTCCAGTATGTCCATGTCTTCCTTGTACAGTGGAGCCCAGAACTGGACACAGTGCTCCAGGGCAGGCCTCACCAGTGCTGACTGGAGGGAAAGGTGCACTTCCCTTGACAAACTGGCAATGCTCTTCCTGATGTAGTCTAGGACACTGCTGACCTTCCTTACAGAGAGGGTGCATTGCTGACTCATGGTCTGCTTATAGTCCACCAAGGACCCCACGGTCCCTGCAGATAGTTAACCCCCCTGTGTATACTGGTGCACAGTGCTATGTTTTTGCTCTTTTATGCTCTTGTCCAAATTCAGTGCATCCACATTTTGAACAGAACATGAAGTTTTAGCTAGCCCATTTCAAGATGACATAGCAGAAATCTAAAAGCAGAGAAAGAAATACAACTTTGCTGTAAGTAGCTTCACCATCCTAAGAGAAGTATCTATGACAGAATGGATTTTACAAAAAGGAGAATAAATGTATTATAAGTTTTCACTTTCCTTTTCATACTTACAGTGGACTACTCAATGCTTTACAGCATTAAACTCCCTTCAGTTTAATGATGCATTGTACCATGTATAATGACCCAGCTGTCATTGTGAAGGCAAAAAACCATAACTACATTCAACAGCAACGGATAGGAAAAAAAAAAAATCTGTTAATGGCTATTAAATACAAATACCACCTGTCCCATCTAGGTGCACAGGGCTGGAAACTAGAAAGGTGTATCAATGTGAATAATCGTTCTACAACTGCCTTGTTTCTTATATTTTTCCCCTTTGTCTCTTATACTTGTTCCCTGGGTCTCAATAATTGTTCACTATTGGCAAAATATCCTGGATAGGCTGCACGTGTGTCATGACCCAAAACTGTCATTCTTCAACCTCAACTCCTTCCCTGATTTACCCTAACAGCAGAAATATCTTTCATATTGAAGATCTCAAAATCATACATTTGCTCTGTCTATGAAGTTGAAGGGCAAAACCCAGGTCCCATTCTAATACTGCAGAAGCACAATTCGAAACTTACCTATGAGATAGTTCTTGACAACACAATATGTATTGCCATAACAAGAAATTAACTCCAGAACTTAATGCCATGACAGTATCTGTGTTAGATTAAGTATTACAAAGCAAATGTAGAAATGGTGTACCATCCAGGCTAATCTACTGCTTTTCAGTAAAGCTATTTTTAGCTCAGTACACCTATTTAAGGCTTTATTCCAATACATATACACTGTACAAATGGTTTCAGGACCAGAACTGACTCACAGCCTGACAGCATGGAAGACACAGCCAAGCAGGTATTTGCCTGCACTAGCTTCTCTTTACTGAAACTATCAGCCTCTGTTCTGAACCATGTACCAGGCTATTCCACTTCCCACAAGGCAGCTGTGGACCCATTTGCATCCCATCAAAAAATCAATTCAAATAACTTTTCTGTCATGATAGCCAGGCTGTCAAGAACAGAGAAGAAAAGATAGAGGATGTTATTTAGGATACAGGCAAATGATAACATTAATCTGAATTAACATCAGGGTGCTGCAAAACTCGAGATTCATGTTTTCTTTTTTCCGCCCAGCCACAGAAGTCCAGGATTCTTCCTGGCAGAAAACCTAACGACTCTATAAACAATAAAATGAGTTAGCTCATCAAGTGACCCCAAAGTGACATTGATTACCTGAGAAGTCTACCCAGATTGCAAGAAAAATCAAGAGACATGATGAAAACACTAAATGTCATTAATGACTCTGGGCAACAGTGTTATTTCTAGTAACACAGTCAAGAGACAATTACATAAGTGTTCTTTTATCATCAAGTGCCCATAATACATGATAAATTACTAAATGCGAGGCTGGAACAGGGATCTCGAAAGGCTGTTTCCCCTTCGTTCTCAGCAGCCACACCCAGTAAAATGAAAGTTAATCTGAACCTGCATCATAAAAGCCAGCAGGGTAAAACAGACGAAAAAAACCTTTTCTTGCACTCGTGGCGTTCCATCCCACTCCTGGCCGGGTCCCCAAGC